ATCTCATTCTATTATATATAGTCCATGTTTTAAAACTTATTTTTTCCTAGTCTACAAGAACATGCTAGATTTAAATGTTAGGGCATTTTATAATTTCTACTTTCCTATTTTCACTGAAGGTACTTGAAAGCACACAAATTCACCCTGTCACTATATGAGCTAACATTATTTGTGTCACTTTCCTTCATGGTGTTCAGCTTTTCCTTTGAAAACTCCCATTAACATTTCTTCTTGTTAGTTAGGAAATGAGTAGGCAGAAGTGTCAGCTATCTTAAACAGATGCATTTGGCTGAATTGGAATTTTCCTCAATTCCTAATCCAAGAGCTATGCTTTGAGAAGAAATTCTACTACATAAAAATAAGGTTTTATGAAATTTCCAGGTTGGTTTTTCTGCATTGTGGATGCTTAGAGATAATAATTCAGTGAATAAGTTTTAGTTTGTATAGAAATGAACTAATCACTTATAAAGAGTGATTAGCAACAATAGGGGCTTACATTTAATGAGCAATTATTTTGTGAAAAATGCTATTCCAAGTGGTTTTATACACATCTCATTTATATTTCCATTTTAGAGAAGAGATTTCAGAGACATGAAAAGAATTAAGATATTTTCACAAGATTCTACACCTATTAAGCTAAAGGACGTGGGATTTGAATCCAATCTTTCTGAGTCCAGCATTTAACCTCTTAACCCCTCTTCTAAACTTCTATTAGAGCCTAATGTGGATTATCACTATTTTGGTGGATGATAAAACTTTGTATATGCACTCAATTACTGCTTGTTTAGTGAATGTATTAAGAGATACTGATATCATTCAATGAATTTATTAATAAACCAATTTGAGAGGCATATAACATGATTGATATTTTTCTCAGAAAAACAATGTGGTATTTTTAGAGAGGTTCTTCATAGTGGCATGGTATATTGCTTTGGAATATCTTCAAAAAGCACTAATTCATATATTTAATTTTGTCTTTTACTTGTGACAGAGGAAAAAAAAAAAGAGTTGCATGGAACCAGATTATCTTTCTGCTGCTATTGGCAGTCATTACATTTTGAATGACAACACTAAGCCTCAGTTAAAGCACTAAATTCTCTTTTCTAAAGTGAAAAAGAAAAGATGCAATTTGATCAAAATATATAGAGACAAGTTTACAACATACCCCTATGTTGTATTTCATATATAAAAATTATTTCTTTACTGAAAATTGTACATATGAGGCTTCAAACTCCAACGTGTTTCTGCGTGTGTTTGTTTAATATATGGGCTGCTTGGTTCACTTTTTTCACAGTAACCATTACTGGCTCATGCCAAACAATTGTCTGCTAACAGCCACTGTCTACATCCTGTTTTCTAAAATAATTTCATAGTAAATATTTAAACTCATTCTCCTATTCGTTATTAGTCAATCAACAATGGTCAAGATAGCTGAAATTACCAAAGCTTTGATTTGCGTTATCGATGAAGGTATCTTACAGGGTTTATTTTACCCATTTTAAGATAATTACTCAGAATGGAAAGATAACCTAAGGTATATTATGTATGTGTATATGTATTCATGTGTGTGCACACTCGTGTGTGCATGTGTGTGTGCACATGTTCATATGCATGATTTTGGACATAAAATAACCAGGAAAGAAATACCTTAACTGTTTGGGGGATTTGTGATGTCATTCACAGCTCTTTTCTGAAAGAATTTTTCCTTGGACATCTAGAATGATTTTTCTTATTTCATCTACAGATTGAGAAAAAATAGACTAAATAAAATAGTCTTTTTAAGATTATCCAATTGGCCGGGCATGGTGGCTCACGTCTGTAATCCCAGCACTTTGGGAGGTTGAGATGGGCAGATCACCTGAGGTCGGAGATCTAGACCAGCCTGACCAACATGGTGAAACCCCGTCTCTACTAAAAATACCAAAATTAGCCAGGCGTGGTGGCGGGCACCTGTAATCCTAGCTACTCGGGAGGCCGAGGCAGGAGAATCGCTTGAAGCCTGGAGGCAGAAGCTGCAGTGAGCTGAGGTCCTGCCACTGCACTCCAGCCTGGGCGACAAGAGCAAATCTCCATCTCAAAAAAAAAAAAAAAAAAAAAAAATTACAATTAAGCCACACTGTCAAGAAATGAGGACCATTAGACAGTGTGTGGAAACTTAAAGTTATGATATATTCACAAAATTGTGTAACGTTAATGTATTAAAAGATCAAATTACATCAAAATAGTTTGTTTTGGACTTGTTTCCAAGTTGGAGTAAAAGAGGTTGTACTTAACCTCCTGGCTGAAACACTTAAAAAAAGAAAAAAGACAAAACATATGCTACAATGGTTTTCAACATATTGAACATCAGACATTGAAGGACAGTGGTCCCTGCCAGGAGGCTTTTGTTAAAAGATGAAGCTGAGAGTTTCAGCAGCCCAAGGTTGACTAGTGATCACAGGGCAAAATACCAGAGAGGTCATACATATGCAGAGGACATTTTAGACATTTGCAGAAAGCTTTATTTTATTCTTCAGCTGAGTCTTGATCAGTTCATGTATGTGAGAAAACCACTCAAAGCTAAGGAAAGAACTACACAAGAGAATTAAAGGGAACAATCACCAGAGCTCACACGTGGCTAAGAATACCACCTGTTCCCACAAGCCCCAGTGAAAAATGTTATCATTCACAGGGCATCAAAGAGAGTACTCAGAAGGGTTTTGCCTCAGTAGTGGGGAAAAAGTAGCCCTAAACTTACACTGTTCTGGTCATAACTAACAAAGCATAAAAGGAAGATTATCAAAAGATCAATTGTTTCCAAGTAAATTAACTGGGTTCCAGAACAAGAGTTAAGAATATTTATTTCAATATATTTGAATTTATTTGAAGTATCAAGCACTCAATAAGTTAAAATTCACAATGTCTGGCATATAATCAAAAATGACCAGTCATCCAAAGAAGCAGTAAAATAACACCCTTAATGAGGAGAAAAATACATCCATTTAAATTAACCCAGAATAGAAACCGATGATAAAATTAGTAGAGAAGAATATTCTAACAGTTATTATATCTGTATTCCATATAATCAAGAAAGTAAAGACTGAACATGTTGAGTAGACACATGGAAGAAATAAAAAAGACCCAAATTATACTTCTAAGAGATGAAAATATCTGATGTTAAAAATATATACTACATGGGATTAGCCATAGATTAGACTTTGAAAAAGATGAGTCTATTTGACAATAGAGATTATATAAAATGAATTACAGAGAAAAGAGACTAAAAAGAAAATGAACATAACATCAGTGAGTAGTGGGGGCAGTTTTCAGGAGCCTAATAAATGTACAATTGGAGTCCCATTTTTTAAAAAAAATGGCTGAAAGCTTTCTAAATTTGATGAAATGTTAAATACACAGATTCAAGAGCTTAACTGACTTCAAGAACAAGGAACATGAAGAAAACTGGGGACTACACCAAGTTACGTCAAAACAAATTGCTTGATCGTAAAAGTACTCCCTAATAAACCTTCTACATACAAATCTCCATTTTACAATGGCTTTCCAAGAAACCCAACCTGAAATATGTACAAAAATCCATACCGAATAACTATCCTCCAAAGAGTAGAATGGAGGTACTTCTTTTATATGTTTCTATGTTGCTTGATCTTTTTCACAATAAGTACTAATTTTATAATAAAATATAAATTAAAATATATAACTATCATGGGTTGGATATCATTGAAAATGGCAAGTGGTTTCTATATCTCCCCCAAAACATTTTATATAACTCTAATATATTTCTGCCTCTCAGGTAGAGACCCCATTATGCTGCATTAGCCCAAAATTCACTTCAGTGCTATTTTTAAAATGTATCTTCTATATTAAAGCAGATTGAGAATCCATACATTTCCTCTCTATACAAATGCCAATGCTGGTGTGCATACAAGTTTGATTGATATATATATGATTACACAAGATTTTAAAAATATTCATTTTCTGTGTTTAAATAGCTTATCACATACATAGGCGTTTAAATGCTTAACTCCTTAATATCAAAAGGCATATTCACTATAGAAACATATTTGAGAATGAAGACTGTAAAGTCAAATGTGATATTGCTTTTGTGAATCCAGCATTTTGAAATATCTAAACTATTTAATGAACTACTGAGTGTTTTTTGCCCTCATCTGTCTTAATCAGTATTTTCTGGCATTAAAAATTGGCTACAATTCAAATCCACTTGATCGACTACTGCAACATGAACGATTTGAGCTAAAAAAAGATGCAAACATAATTAAGCCTTTGTGTAATAAACACAATGTTTCTTATGCCTAAACTATCTATTTTAGGAACCAAATTATATCCTTGACAATCTAATCTATCTTTACCTGCATATTCAAAGGACACAGCAAGTTGAAATTAAACTATACACTGGTTATCATCCATATGTTGCTTCTCTATTAACATAAACCATAAAAAAGTCAATAAGTACCACCAATTAACTCTGCATTGTTTTGGCCTCTGGACTATTTCAAAAGGCATTTTGTCAATAGAATAATATAGAAATATGGCAGTATCACTACAAATTGTCTTTAGGGAAACAGAACTGTAATTTTATCATGATGGATATTTCTAGCAACTTCATTATAGCTAAGTATGCCACAAGTTATCCTTCTGGAACGGTTCCAACATACGGCAAAAATACACACTGCCCCAAAGCCACAAAACACCTTGCTGTTACCATGCTCCCTTTTGTCGCAGATTCAATTATATTTTGCAGTTTATCAGATAAACCAGTTCTGTCCAGGCAAATGCTCTCATCCTGACACAAAAAGTCCACAGCACAGTTCTCTAATATTATCATTATAATTTTCTTTCTAGTATGTATAATGATGACAACAAAAGTCAAAAGTGGTCATTTCCATCATCCTTCACAACCTGAACTTAAAGAAATTAAACAGTCCAGATGTGATGAAGATAAACACAATTTAGAAAAAAAAAAAAACAAATCAAAAACTTACCTTAAGATACCATTTGTATTTAGCATGTTCCCAATTCTCAGGAATTTGCGTCTTTCTGAGGAACTGTTCAGCTTCTGTTAGCCACTGATTAAATATCTTTATATCATAATGAAAACGCCGCCATTTCTCAACAGATCTGTCAAATCGCCTGCAGGTAAAAAATATGGATCAAGAAAAATAAATGGATGATATAAAACAGATTGTAGAGATACAGCATATATTTTTTGGTTATACTGACAAAGATATCATTCTGATAGTTTCTGGCATTTGTAGAGTTTAGTTTCAATTAACAAATAAAAATTAAAAGATACACCTAACATGTACCCACAAAATTTTTTAAACATGCTCAATAAAAAAGATGATTTTAAACTGAAGGTTGCAATTTTTCCGTTTAAAGTGAATATATTTCTTGATTAAAAGAAAGGTAAAGCAACTATTTTGGACGATTAGCATTTTCTTTCCTAAGAATATATATTTTTTTAAATTCTAGAAATTTACAAATATCTTAACATTGTAATAAATTATTTGGAAGCAATATATTCAATTTCAAAATATGTTTGGATACAATTAAATTACTTCATAAATTCTATCACTTTCAATATTATTCTTGATCCAAAACTACCTATTCATCAATTGAAAGAAGTAATAAGTTCTAGTGTTCTACTGCATAGTAAGATGAACAAAGTTAACAATATTGTACTGTATATTTCAAAATAGTGAAAGAGAATTTTAAATGTTCTCACCACAGAGAAATTATAAATGTTCGAGGTTATGGATATGTTAAGTAACCTGATTTGATCATGACGCAATGAAACATTACACTGAAACATCACACTCACCCCATAAATACATATAGTTATTACAAATAAAACTTAAAAATATAACTAAAATACCATTATCACACCAATAAATCAATAATTCATCACTATCATTAAAGATTCTGTCAATATTTAAAATAAGATGACAGATGTAATTCATATTATAGGCTCAGATGTAAGCATTTCACTAACTGATAAACTGAACTATGTGATGCCTTCTTGAATCCTACTTATTTTATTGTATCCACTAAAATTTTGGATTGGAATACTTCAGGAACTTAGTACAAGTCAAATGTGTTAACATTGCACATGGAAAGAATATTAGGAAGCAAGCATTGGTCACCTTCCAATCATAAAAGAGACTGAGGCAGAAATAATATGAACCAGGGCTTTATGTTTACCTAAGACAGTTGCACATAAGAATCAACCGGGTCATTTAAAAAAACAGCAACAACAATAACCAAACAGTGACCCTGGGGCTCCACTCCAGATCAACTTAATCAGTATTTCTGGAGGTTGGATGCTGACATTGTTATTTTTCAAAGCATCTAGGTGATTTCAATGCACAGTCAAGGTGAAAAACACTGCTATAAAGTAAGATTTGAAATCTTATTGGACTTACAGTCTACCAGATCTCCTGGGACCTGTCCAAGCAAGCATTTGTGAGCACTAAACCAAAAGCCATCCAAAAGATTACTGGCTATGGTGCTGCCTCAGAGTACAGGAATCTGTCAAGCTTTTCTGAACTCTATTCTTAAGAAGCAATGGATCATACTTTTGAATATCATGATATCTTTACAGTCCTCTACCTTCATTCAGGAATTTAAAGTAACACTAGAATTTTAAAATTGCTACATCTGCCTACTGATGTACTGGGCAGAGAAATGAATTAACATTTATGAAACAATTACTAATAGCCAGGCACCGGGCTCTGTGCTTTTACAGTGTCAGGCATATCATTTCACTGACACTTACAATAACCCTGCAGTATAGCAATTATTATTCCCATTTTCCATTGGAGAAAACAGAGGCCAAGTAATTTGCCGAAAGGTGAAAATGGTATTAAATAGTAGTAGAGAGAGGCTTCTAACCCAAATATCTCTTGTTTCAATGGCACCTTTCTACCACTGCACATGATCTCCAGTGAAATATTTTATTTTTCCAAGATGAAGTTTCACCTTATCAGTTAAACAATTGAAAGTGATAGTTCTAGAGTCTTTTCCCCTTTATTTTTATTAACTACCTAAAATTTAAGAATGTATCTACATGTACATTGCATTCTTTCAGACATTGTATTTAATGAATAATTATATGCTTAACCTTTAAAATCATGTAAAACAGACAGCATTTTGGTAGTATAAAAAAGGCAACTGAAGGTAGCCAAAGAGCTATTCTCTAACTACAGTTAGTGAAAAGTAAGAATGTTGCCTTTGATAATTAATGGTATTCTCGAGTTATTCAGATACATTATATCCTTCCACAACAAAATGATCCTGGGAATGTTTTTGCATGTTTAGTAATGATTTAGCATTCACGTATTTTCAGTGGTATATAACATACAATAAATGACCTATAAATATATCTTAAGAGTTTATTCCCTTTAAAAACGAACTGCACATGTATTTGCATCACGGGAGTCAAAGAGTTGCTTTTGAATGAGAATCTAAAAAAACTATGCAACATAGGTAGCATTGTTCCATACTGGTGAAATTATATATATTTTAATTTTATTATATGCTTTTTTTTTTTTTTTTTTTTGAGATGGAGTCTCGCACTGTCACCCAGGCTGGAGTGCAGTGGTGCGATCTTGGCTCATTGCAAGCTCTGCCTCCTGGGTTCACGCCATTCTGCTACCTCAGCCTCCCGAGTAGCTGGGACTACAGGTGCTCACCACCATGCCCAGTTAATTTTCTTTATTTTTAGTAGAGATGGGGTTTCACCATGTTAGCCAGGTTGGTCTCTATCTCCTGACCTCATGATTTTTCTATATTTTTCAATTTGTCTACAGTGTGCTTTTCATATTTTGAGTCAGAAAAATAAAATAAAAAAATTTTTAAATGGCAGTCTCATATGCTAATGACTGCTAACTCCAACCCTCCTCCTGCTACCACAGTCTGAGAAACAGTCAGCAGCTAACCAGAGCACAGAGAAGCACCAGTTGGTCACAACTTACCACTCCACCTTTGTAGCAACCATCAGTCCCCACTCTTGGTTTGCTGTTTTTCCTACCCAATCACTTGAACTATACTTTTGCCAACACTTTTAGCTACTAGGAGGTGACTGTTTCTCCAACATACTGCTATAAATGCCCATTCTTCATTTCAGGATCCTGTATACCTTAAAGATTTTCAATTTCAAAACTGTTGCACAGACTTGTTTCTCAATCACTCATCATATTGATAGTTGCCATCCTCTACCAAATTCAACAAATCCCCCTCTCACCCTGAATTATTTTCCTTTCTACAAGTTACCTTTCCTTTACATTCTCCCAGAGAAGAAAACTATAAGGGTTCATATACTTGATCATGGTACCCATAGCTCTGTAAGACAGAGCTGGAGGTAGGAAGAGAAGGGGAACAGGCCTTCCATTTACACCATTGTTCCAGGCCCACAAGAGGGAGGCAGGATGGACTTTCTGCCGGACCCCTGCTTCTGCCTTAGGACTTGTGAATTTGCATATCAATAGCATATTTCGGAAATACCCTTCTTCCCCTTTTCTCTTGTCTCCTCGTATAATCCAAACTTTTGCATCCTCAAGGACCTAATAAAAATGACTTACGCTGTTACTTTATAAATATATAAATATGAAGTATTCATTACAGCATGTAACTGCTAAACCATTGAAAACTGTAAAGTTGATTTAATTTTATTATTGAAATTACTGTTGAAATAAGTAACTATTCAAACAAAATATTAAAGAATAAAATCATGGGCTTTACATGTGATGACATTTAATATGAGTAATAATACTTTAAACTCCATTTCAAGTCTCACATAAAATTTTAAAATACACTTTTCAGTATTTAATATGTGCTGAATTTAATATGTTCTTGAATTTACTACGTAAAATTACGTTTTTTATCATGACTACTTATAAACTTAAACTCTTTTCCACCAAGGAAACTTCCAAATGAAAAAAAAATATTTTTTTCTGGTTTTACAATGTTAAATTTATAAATTTAATATCTAATTAGTCACTGTCCTCCCTAAATTTTTCTTGCTCCATTAATTGGACTGCCCACAAATAAAGAAAATGGTAACAACTAGAAACAAGTAGAGACATCAAAAATAGCAATCAGGGAAACAAATATAATTTTTGCCTTCTGTAATATTTCTAGGAAAAAAGTTTTTTTTTCTTGGCAGTAAGAAGAAATATAGATGGAACTTAATAAAGGGCAAAAAATGTCAGTATAAACATATGGATAATAAATCAAGTGATTTTAGAATTTTGCAAATATTAAAATTCTCATTCACTATGCAACCGGTATTTAAAATTACACTGCTGCTTCATTTATGTGCAGCATAACTTATTTCCTGCTGTTCTAAATCAAGTTAGTCAGATTATTCTCAAGCATAAATTACATTTAGGGAGTAATTCAGTACTCTGGGACATACTTTAACACTTTTGGGCCATTAAGGTGGTAGTCAATTCCATGAAATAGATTTAAATAAATAACACCCTAGTAGCCTTCTGACATATCCATTGTTGCTTTATACTTAGGTCTGCAAACTCAGCTTGGGCTGCTGATTACTTCATCCCACATATTTCATCTTTGATTAGGTGAGGAGGACGGACCTTGGCTAGTGTCTCGTGGTCCAAACTGTATGTGCCAATAAATAAAGGTTAGTTATCTGCCCCAAATCATAGTACCTTGCTACTTCTCCCCACCCCTAAACTTCCTAAGTAATACAATTATTTAATAAAAGATAAGTATACTACCAATTATGAAGTACTTACCTCCTAACGTTAATTGTGGGAGCTTAATAAATGAGTATATATAAATTTCTTTTTTTTACATCTTTTATTTTATTAATGTTTTTAAAACAATCAATAGACTTTGGAATACACGTGATTTTTGGTTACATGAATTAATTGTATAGAAGTAAAATCAGATATTTTAGTGCACGTGTCACCCAAGTAGTGTACAATACACCCAATAGGTAACTTTTTATCCCTCACTCCCTTCCCACTCTGCCCCTTCTGAGTCTTCAAAGTCCATTCTACTACTCTGTCTGCCTTTGTGTACCCACAGTGTAGCTCCCACTTATAAGTGAGAACATACGGTATTTGGTTTTCCATTCCTGAATTACTTCACTCAGAATAATGGCA